CTGTGTTGGAATAGGACACGTGAGAGTGATGCTAGAGTCTGTGAAACCCCAAATGCTGGTGAAATGGAGGGAAGGGGAATCAGCTCCAGTGGGCTGGGGCTGGCACTCAACTCCCCAAACAGAAATAGTCTTTGTAGATCATCTGACAGGGGCATTTCTACCAGCTCATTAGAGGGACATGTGGGGAGGACAGAGGAAAAAGAAAAAGAAAAAAAAGAGGAGAAAAAAAGCTTTTTCCTTTCTCTCAGCTGTGCAAAGGGGTGACCACTCTGCATGCAGCTGCACAGCTCTGAGCAGCATCAGCCACCAGCTCCCCCACCATCCTGGGATAACTGGGATAACTGGGAGCATGGCAAACAGGCTGGACTCTGCGTGCTATGGCAGGCTGATGGTGTCTTTGTCTGCTTAAATGTATAATAAATTCTCTCTATACATAATATAACTAACAAAATATATATCAAGTGTATGGCTCTGATTTAAACAGATGTTTGCACTGCATGCTCAACACAGAGAACTAGAAAATAGAAGGAAAACAGCTCGATTCTGTTACAAAAAGGTAGCAGCAAAAAGGTTTGCAAAACTCTTCAATAGGCTGGGTAGGAAAGAGTCCATACAGCAAATATTTCCCTCATCTGATGCCTTCCAGCCACCTCTTCAGGAGACAGTAGAGAACCCTCCACCACCGCAGCTATTGCCTGATCCCATCTGTCTGCCTTCAGCAGGGTGGGGTGGTTCTGCCCCGACCCCGAGTGGCACACCCGTGAACACCCACACCCACGGGCACCCACGGGCACCCAGCCCTGCGCCCAGGGCACCGCAGCCAGGCAAAGGTGGCACTACACAGTGGCAAAACTCAGCAGGCACGGGTGGCTCGTGCAGGGGCGTTACCAGGAGGGCACACACGGCACCTACACACGCATTCCAACACCAGATTCTATCACCAGAGACCGCCCCCGGTTCCCAGCACAGCACAAAGGCAACCTCAGCATCTCTGCTGGAACTTGGTGTGTCCAGAGAAGTAAACACCTCTGAAAGGGAACGGGCATCCTGCCCGCGTGGAAACTCAGATGTTGGGCTGCATCCAGACAGATTTCAAAGTGTATTTTACTGCTGTCTGGATCTGCCTTTGCCTGTGTAGGCTGCCTTTTGTTTGGATCTCTTAATATTCAGTGCTGTAAGGGCACTTTTGACAGCAGCACAAGCCCCAGGGCAGTATTGCACTCCCCCACTCCTCGCCTTTCCGTACTGAGTGGGGAAAAGAGCCTCAAGTCAGCAGAACTGGGAAGCAGTTCAGGGTTTGCTTCCTCACTCCTGCAACACCCAAAGCAGGTGAACCAACCTCACTGCAGCGTGGGGAGCCAACAGCAAGCACCTTGGCTTTGTGCATTTTAAAGTGGGCTACAAACCCCACATTCACAAGCCTCAGGAGGTGCCAGGGCTGCGGGCAGGGTGGGCATAGGGAGGACAGATGGACAAATCCCAGCTCTCCAGAACCAACATTTCCCTCATTTTTCAAAAACCTCTTGGTGCAGAAGCCTCCTGCCCTCCCCTAGGCTGGGCTCTCCTTTGAGAGGACTTAAATTACTACTGGTTAAGTGGCCATATCTGTGATCCTAGGGGAACAAGACGTGTGACAGGACTGTGCCCGGCTGGAAGAAGTGAGCAGAGAGCCCGAGAGCTCATAAAGTGCACAAATGCAGAGATGTCAGACTCCCTCCTCCGAGGCTGGCACGGCCAGGGATGAGGACACACTGTGCTGCCTTTCACCCGTGTACCAGAGGCAGGGACCAGCCCCTCGAATACCACCACTTCTCCCCAAACTGCTCAATCTACTGGGAGGCTGCTCCCATCCAGGGGATCCACACCGGTGGCCCCAAACCACGTGTGGTGTGTGCCTGGGGTCCCTGAGCCCCTTCGCTGCCTCCCCAGCCACGCGCCCAAGTGTCAGGTCCCCTTCCCCAGTGCAAGAGCTGGTGGCTCCAGCCTTGGCATCACCCACGTCCCGGGGCAGGAGGTGCCCCTGCCGGGACCCGTGCAGCTGAGCATGTGAGGACAGTAAGTGACAGCGTAGGGGCACAACGTGACCCGGCCTGGCCGAGGGGGACAGAGCCCGGCGTGTCCCCAGCGGAGGGGTGGCACCTGTGCAGGCCGGGAGGGGCAGCACGTCCAGCCTGGCTGCGGGGAACCCAGCCCCAGAGCCCTGGGGGCACAGAGGCGGGTGGGTGGGGCCGGCTCTGCCGGGGGTAGCCAATGTCCTGGACGTCACGGGAAGCGGCCGCGGGCCGAGCGCTGGGCGAGGGGCGGCGAGGCTCAGTCTGACTTCCCCAGCTTCGCTATCAGCTCGTCGCAGATCTTGGTCAGCTCCTCAATCTCCTGGTTCTGGAAAGAGAAGCAGAGCTCGAGGACCCCCGCGGTGGCACAGACGGGGATAACGCCCGGGCCCATCTGCCAGCGC